TCATGGGGAGTACGAAACAAGGGACGAAAGAATGGGGGCATACCTCGAAGTCGTACAAAGCCTCACTAAACAGTTCAGCAAATTCGAGCTAACGAGAATCCCACGAGGAGAGAATTCCTCAGCAGATGCGTTGGCTGCATTAGCGTCCACATCAGACCCCCTAGTAAAACGAATCATACCTGTAGAAGGAATAAAAAAACCAAGCATCGACATAGCTACCAAAGCTGAGATCGATAGCAAACCGAAAGAGCAAACAGAAGGTAGCTGCTCCGAATCAGCAGCAACCCAAGTTCTAACAACATTCTGGTTTCCAAAAACCAAAACTCGCAAATTCAAAAAGCACACCACCGGGGGCACGACCCAGCCTCCAAGCCCACTTGTCTTCAGAGTAAACACTCGCAGAACGAGATACTCCCCTGAACCTGAAACTTCAGCCGAAGACTCGATCCCAGCCCCGGAAGTTAACGACATTCCTCCAGATTTAGGTTCCAGGGAACCTAACCGAAGGATTACCCCCGGGGGCACGACCTCCGGCCGTAACAACACCCGGGAACCTGATCCAGCACAAGGACCTCCTTCGTCCCTTCACGACAAAATCATAGGAAGAGAGGACTGGAGAATCCCAATCATGCAGTATATTTCGGAGGGCAAGGTCCCCCCCCCATAAATGGGAAGCTCGAAAACTTAAAGCAATAAGCGCAAGATACTGCATAATGGAATCTATCCTTTATAAGCGAAGCGTATCAGGATACCTGAGATGCGTCCACGGCCTCGACGCTATTAAACTCATGAAAGAAATGCATGACGGCTCCTGTGGAAACCACTCCGGTGGTAGAGCCTTAGCTATCCGAATCAAAAGGCAAGGCTATTTCTGGCCCACCATTATCGCTGACTGTGAGGTCTACTCGTCCTCATGCGACAGATGCCAGAGATACGCACCTTTTATACATCAACCATCAGAGAAATTGTCCTCGATATCTGCCCAATACCCGTTCATGAGATGGTACATGGATATCATAGGACCGCTAGTAAAATCAGGAAGAAGAAAGCAAAAGCTACCCTTCCTTTTAGTCCTAACAGACTACTTCACCAAATGGATAGAAGCTGAAGCTCTTCAGCGGGTAACTAAAGTCGAAACCGAACGACTCGTATGGAGAGACATCATATGCCGTCACGGCGTCCCATACGAAATCGTAACCAATAACGGGTCACAATTCATATCTAAGGACTTCAAAGCATTTTTCGACAAGTGGAAAATTCGTCTCACTATGTCAACACCTCGATACCCTCAGAGAAACAGTCAGGCGGAGGCTGCTAACAAGTCGATATTAGCAAACCTCATGAAACGTCTCGGAATCAGTAAAAGCTCTTGGTTTGAAAGACTACCTTAGGTGCTTCGGGCATGCCGAACCACCCCATGAAAGGCTACAGAAGAAACTTCTTTCTCCTTAGCCTACGGGATGGAGGCTGTCGTCCCAGCTGAAACCATCATCAAGAGCCTCCGCCGGGAACTCTGTACATTTAACCCCAAAACCAATGATCAGCTCATATTAGATAACCTCGATTTAATCGAGGAACGGCGAAACCAAGCCTTGCTTCGCATTCAAAACTACCAATAAGCAATGACCCGACATTACAACTCAAAAGTCAGGTCCCGACAATTCGTTGCAGGAGACCTAGTACTTAAAAAAGTTTTCAATCATACCAAAGAGCCGCGCGCTGGGAAACTAGGAACCAACTGGGAAGGTCCCTATCGGATCATCCACATAGTACGACTTGGCGTTTACAGGCTCCTGAAGGTACGAACCTGGGTACCTGAAATCCGATCATGGAACGCCATGAATCTCAAGAGATACTATCATTAGGTACCTAAACTCCCTGAACTACGTTAGGCTTGATCCCTTGACTGGGTACGTAGGCAACTCTGTCATGAATGCAGCCCCAACCTCGTTTCAGCATTCTTTTCACCATAGCCAAAGGGGGCAGATGTTTAAAAACACATAGCCCAGACAGCAACTGTATGATTGCTACAACGCGATGTATTCTATAAAAGTTATCAATGAAGCGATTACATGTAAACATTTTGAGTTTCCTTCAAACAAATCCAGGTCCCTACGAACCTGGACCTAAGGTCTTAAAATCCTTCAAACAAATCCAGGTCCCTGCGCACCTGGACCTGAGGTCTTAAAATCCCTCAAACGAATTCAGGTCCCTACGAACCTGAACCTAAGGACTTAAAATTCTTAGTACATTCAGAAGTCTTGAAAACTTACGAACGAATCCAGATTTACGTGAATCTACCCTTAAATGCCTTAAAAGCTCTTTGGAAAGAATTTAGACCCCTTAAGATCTTAATCCAATCTCGAAGATCCAGGAACTCATTCCTGAAAATCTCAGGACCAATCACAATCGAAATCACTGTGACCTCTAAGGTCACAAGGTCAGCTGTTAACAAGATCCGCGATCTGATTCCGGAAAGATCACATGAATCCCACACTTAAAACGTTACAATACATGACTCGAGTTTACACTTCGAAGTCAAACAAATCCAGGTCCCTACGAACTTGGACCTAAGGTCTTAAAATCCTTCAAACAAATCCAGGTCCCTACGAACCTAGACCTAAGGTCTTAAAATCCTTCAAACGAATTCATGTCCCTACGAACCTGGACCTAAGGTCTTAAAATCCTTCAAACTAATTCAGGTCTCCGTGAACCTGAACCTAAGGTCTTAAAATCCTTCAGACTAATTCAGATTTCCACAAACCTAAACCTAAGGTCTTAAAATCCTTAGTAACCTCAAAGGTCTTAAAATCCTTTAAACAAGCTAATTCAGGTTTCTAAGGTCTTAAAATCCTTAGTAACCTCAAAGGTCTTAAAATCCTTTAAACAAGCTAATTCAGGTTTCTAAGGTCTTAAAATCCTTAGTAACCTCAAAGGTCTTAAAATCCTTTAAACAAGCTAATCCAGGTTCCCAAAGAACCTCATTCTAAGGTCTTAAAACCCTTAACAAAACTCAAGGTCTTAAAATCCTTCGAAAACAATTCCAGGTTCCCAGAACCTCATTCTAAGGTCTTAAAACCCTTAACAAAACTCAGGGTCTTAAAATCCTTCGAAAACAGTTCCAGGTTCCCAAAGAACCTCATTCTAAGGTCTTAAAACCCTTAACAAAACTCAGGGTCTTAAAATCCTTCGAAAACAATTCCAGGTTCCCAAAGAACCTCATTCTAAGGTCTTAAAACCCTTAAGAAAACTCAAGGTCATAAAATCCTTCGAAAACAAATCCAGGTTCCCAAAGAACCTCAATCTAAGGTCTTAAAACCTTAACAAAACTCAAGGTCTTAAAATCCTTCAACAAAAAAATAAAAAATAATAAAATAATAAAAAATTTCAGGTTCTCAAAAACCTCAACCTAAGGTCGCAAAACCCTTAGCAGCGTTCGAGATCTAAAAGAAATCGCAAGTAAATTCAGGTCCCAGAAACCCATTCTCGGGACCTCTCGCTAAAAGGCTACGGGACCTGTTATCAACAGGCTCCCCGACCTTCACCCGAAAGTTTCCTAGACCTCATGTCTAACGACTAGGGACCTGTTACTAACAGGACCCAGAATCCTTCGTTCAAGGAAGTAAAGACTTCTACTTAGACGATCGAGTTCGTACTAAGGAATTCATCAAAACATCGACGAAACCCTTAGCGAAAAAGTTTGATCCCAGTCAAGATCAAATCAAAATCTTTATAAGTCGAAGGCATAATAAAACGAAACAAGAATTTAAAAGCCTCCACAGGCTACTTAAGTTCGAAGATCTTAACAAAGCAAAAGTTTAAAGGCCTCCTCAGGCCACAAGTCTTAACAAAGATAAAAAGAAAGCCCATTGGACAGAAGTCCTGGGAACACGAAGACATAATCGCTACCTCAACAAAGAGAAAGAGATCAGGCGGTTGAGCTTTAGCTTTCGAGAAAAGAGGTCTCATCTCGAAAGCTGGGGGCAACTGTTGGGCCCAAATATGGCCCGCTAGCTGAGACTAATGGGCTCGAGCGATAAGAGTTGACAATGGGCCACTGTAAGCCCATTGGCAATTAATCTTTTGAGAAAAGAGTTAAAAAGAAGCCGGAGGTTGTTTGCTAACAAAGGGACGTCAGCAAAATAGGTCACGGAAGAGAGCTCCGGACCTCATTTGCAAAGAGCTAACGGGAGTAGCTCAGGCTGGTTGCGCAGGACCCGGTCAAAAGGAGGCTGTTGAGAATCCCCCAACTCACGGAGCAAATCTCGGAGGTTGGTTAGGATCAGTCAAACGTGGCTTGAGGCTATTTAAAGAGAAACAAGATGAAGAAGAAAGGGGTTCTCTCTCGATTCATTTATTCTACCATTTACACGTATCTTAGTTCACAAAACATTCTCATAAGTCCTTGTAATCTTCAGAATCATCTTTGTAATCATCTCTTTACCAAAAACATCAATACAATCATAATTCATTCTCTAAGTTCTAACGGGATTCAGCCCACGTTATCTTCTCTCCACTCTAAACCTAACCTAAAATCAGGAAGTGAGTTTTATCCCTCACAGTTGACAAAAAAATTCAAATGAAACATAAAATCGAGGTCCAAGGCTCATTAATTTATTTGCAGTAGAAAAGCAGCGAGCTATGCGATTGGATTACAAAGTAGTGGACCGAGTCATACTTATTGATTTATGAGATGTCACTTTCTCAGTTCCTCTACTGTTTCTAGTTCCTTAGAGCATGATTATTGGTGAGACTAATTTCTAAATCCCTAGATTAGTTATTGTTATTTTGATGTTAAGAGAAAAAGTTAAGGACAATGTTAAAAGTTAGGATTATTGGTAGGAAATTTCTTTAATTCCACAAAGACATTTACCAACTGGTGAGAGTAGATTGCGTGAAAGCTCACATATATACAAGGAAGAAGAATCATTAGCAGGTTCATAACAGAACATTTGAGACTTTGCATTCCAAAAAGACTCTATTACAAGGCAAAAAGACTATTAAAAGCAAGAATAAACCTTAGCAAACGCAACAAACGCTTCAGTTTCATCTGTGTTCCATCTATATTCAGACTCTGAGACTCCAACAAAGACATTGCTGTTCTCTAACAACACCAAACACTCTCTAGTAAGCTGAGAGCTCCAACAAGCGCTAGCAATAGAACAATTCTTAAACTGATGACCTCCAATATAGTTCAAAAGAACAACTCTTCCCGTTCGCTTTTTTATGTGAGCTGCATATAAAGAAGGCAGACTTTAGTGATGAGTTATGAAGTACCTGGAAAAATCACAAGCTGAGATTATTCAAGCGCCAAACATAAACTGAAAGTTATCTGACATTGGCTTTTAGACAGGAAAGAAAGACATACGAAGGATATTCGATATGAATAACCACAGCTTCTTTAAGCAACCTTTTGGCATTCTCTAAACCCTTGATGCTTTCCCACTTCACATTTGGATTCCCACGGATGATGTCCTTGAAAAACAAGGATTCCCACAAACCATGAAACACACAAACCAATTAATGACAAAAAAAAATTACAAGAAGTACATAAGATGATTTGCCTACTCAGACTCTCAGCGAGAGCACGAGTTTCTGCAGATTCAAAAGGTGGGAACATTGACTTTTTCCTGCAGAAAGAAACATTAAAGTGTTTATGCTAACCATTCCTTAGATCCCAAACACTATGATACAAGGAAAAAGGTAGAAAAGCAAAAGGAAACCAAAGGTCTTACGACTTCTCACGGATCCCATTGGCCAAGCCAGTGTTACCCTCCTGCAATAATCACAAAGCCCAAAACTTTAAGTCATCTTTAGGAAAATAGAACACAATAGACATTATTTCTCTAAGCACTTTACAAAACCCAATACTTTCAGTCATCTTAGGAAAAAAGAATAGAACAGACATTACTTCTCTAAGCACTTCACAACGATTAATTACAGGAAGCAATGAACATGAAATCTCTCTAAAGCTTTAAGAAAAGGCAAAAAAAAAGTCACCTGAGCTGAATTGGTGACGACTTGGGAACCTTCTTCCTTGTTGCTGGATGATCCATCTTCTGGGTTTGATTCTTGGGACTCTTCAGGAAGTTTCTTCCTCCCAAACTTGGCATCATAAAACGTTTTAAATTTCTAATAAATACATAGACTTTTCTCTTGAAAAAAATTGATTAATCCTCAAAGCTCACGCATTTGATTGTAGAGAAATCGAAACGGGATCCTTATTGACTCACTAAAAGTAAGGAATGCGAGAAAACAAAGTCTTCGAGGTTTACCAGAAAGCTCCAGCGGGCGAGAGAAGGCTCATCGGTCGCCATCGTTGATGGATCTCAAAGCTCAAGAGGAGAAGCAAAGAGAGAAGATCAGAGAAGAAGACATGAAGGTATGCGGTGAGTGCCACGTACCCTTTAAGGATAATTTTGAAAACTTCTTAATTAAGAAGTGTCCTTATGTTTTTCCTCAATTTTGATTTAATTTTGGGCCATTATTACTAATATATGGCACTAAGATACACCGATAATGGTGCTCTTATTATTGAATATGGAAAAATCATATTCTTTCCCTAAAACTAAGTGATGGGTCAAGTTCACATCTTTCTTTCACGTTATGAACTGTTACTGTATTTGTATTCAAAAAACAAATAATCAGTAACATGTTTGCTTCTCTGTACTTGTGGTGTGTAGTCCATCTTTTCAGAATCTCACTACGGTCATTTCCCAAAACAAGACTACCCTTGTATAGTTGGTATGAAGGGATTGTGTGAACACAAAATAAACTAGCTTTGTAAGAAGTAACCAAAGACAACATTTTATTCTGCCTCCCAGTCTCCTACAACGAATCCGGTGTTGCCCCCATTCAAGAAGAATATTAACTTGGGCAAGACGCCATCTTTCCTACGATGGATTTTTTGTTTTGGAAATAGAATGGTGACATGTCCTCCTTATGTTAAAACACTAATGAATTGCCTTTTTGAAGTTTTCGTTTATTTTTGTGCCCTCTTGGAATTTTTTACAATATCAAAGCAAAAGAGTATCGCCCACCGTGGGGCTCGAACCCACGACCACAAGGTTAAGAGCCTTGCGCTCTACCAACTGAGCTAGACGGGCTTGATGCTAGGTAAGGTCACAAAGACATATTGATTTTATCATTTACCAAAGTAGTGATAAGTACGAACAAAGATTTATCAAATACATTTGAATAAGAACAAATACGGCTTTGATGACATATAATGCATTCTCCAAGACGAAACAAAATAAAATGCGAGAAAAGAGCAACACCCAGTCCCGACACACACCTATATGTCATGACCCACATTTGTCGGACGCAGCAGTTTTCATGTGAACTTAAAGAAAAGCAGTTAGTAACAACTTTGCAGAAATTTATAGAAGAGACACCTGAAAAATATCAATTACTAGTATTACTCCCCTTATCTTTTTTTTTCGTGAAGCTGTCTAGTTTTGCCTACATCTTTTCCACAAGTAACTTCTTCAACAGGACCATATCTTAATTTACTAATTGGACTTGATTCCTCCCTTCTGCTTGTTGCTCTTCTTGGACGACTCTTTGATCTACAAACAAAGCATATTTTGATAAAACATCACGGTCTATAGCTTCTTCTTCAAGAGGTCAGGCAAAGACCAACTGTGCTTACCTGGTCAAGAAGCTTCCTTTGGAATCGGTAACCCTAATGAGGAAGAATAATATGTAACCACATGGTTAATGTTTTAAAGCTAGAATTGGTGTATCAATTTGGTTAATTTTGTTTTTGTTGAAACACTTACCTTGTCAGTTCCATAAATGTAATCACAATAAGTAAAGACTGAAGCGAAGTTGCTCTGGCTTTGTCCTCCAACGTAGTGATGGTAGTCATGGTACTCAGCACCACCATAGAAAGGGATGTATTTTGTTGGACTCCATGGAAAATCATATCTGCAATGACAACATACAAACCCCATAACTTAACATTTTTACCCAAAAATACAAAAAAAAAATTAACGCCATTTTCCAAGGTCAATCGAGATACATTGCAAACTTTTCAAGCAAGCAAGAAAACTTATTAAGTTATCTAAGTGAGCGGAGTTTCTCTTACCGCACTTGTCTCTTGCTTTAGATGTTTGGGTTACTTACAAAAGTTAAATTATAGAAAAGTAGAGCCTATCTAGTTGTTCACCAAAAGTATCTATACTACTAACCAGTTCCCAAACAATTCACAATAGCTTGAAAAGCCTAAAAAGTATTAGAATAAAAAACCTAATACCTAACTTAGCCCCAGTTGTATAAAGGTGAGCCACTATTGTATGATGTATCTACCACAGGCGTGGCCTCTTTTATATATATAATATATATATATACATAAACTAACTAAGGAAAGATGTACGAAACAATACAAGTGATATAATGCAGTCACTTATTAATATAACGAAGAAAAAGTTATAAACTGTAAAGTAACAACAAAAAAAGGAAAGAGATCTGTTATTTGATTTCTGTAAAACCACGCCCTTACCCACTGTGAGTCTCTATAGCCTCAATTTGTCTTAAAGCTATCCACAACCAAAAGGTTATCATGTGACCTGGAGCAATCGCTGGTCCCATAAACGTTGGGACTCCAAGAAGCAACACTTCAGCCCAATGGGCATAAGGTGCAGCGTATCCAATAGGAGCTGTGTACTCATGATGAACACGATGAATGTTCTCGTATCCCCACTTACTGTGGAAGAATCTATGCACCCAATAGTTTGTGTAGTCTTCTATCAAGAAGTAGACGAACAACTGTGGCAGCATCTCTGAAAGTGTTGGTAATGGCAACCCAGATCGTATCCCAATCATCTGTATTTTTTGAAGAACAAGAACGTAAATGATGTGATGAAACATTCAGGATTCTGTCAATATAAGATTCAAAGATTACCTGAATAGAAGGATAAGAAACGAGTTGTAACGGACCAACGACGAGGATGAACATCTTCATGACGTCTTTGTAACACCCGAACATGTCGGACAAGGAGTAGTTTACTTTGGGTTGGATCTTGTACCGGTCGAACCACCCAGAAGCGGATCGAGCCAGTTCGACGAGAACCAGAGGGAGAGGAGCTAGAGAGAAGACGAGGAATAGGAAGAGAATGTTGTGGCAGTAGAGATAGTAGTCTGACTTTGTGGCGGAGTAATCGAACCAAACTGTCTCCAACCACGTGAGGTTTCTTCCGAGCGCGAAGGAAGCTTCCTCAACCGTTACGTAAGGAATCATGATTGTAAAGTTTCTTGGTTTCTCAGGCGAGTTTTCGACGGAGATTTGCTGACGTGGAGATCTGATGATCTGGGGAGGAGGTTGAGAGAGAAGAGAAGAAGAGAGTGTTTGTTTGTTATATAGTTGGCGAATATTTTGGCTTGAGACGTGATCAGTATTTTTTAAATAACTAAATTGCCACAAATATTTTTAAATTGGATTTCCTTTTGTGTCAAGTCTTATATTTTCATTGGAGAGTTAATTTGATATATATATATATACTTTCTTACGGTGGAATTAAAAAGGAAAAATTTCTTTATTGGTGTACATTTTGTAAATTTTTAATAATGGGCTAAATTATAAACATAAAGTAACTAGATTTTTATCTTCTTTTGTTAATGCTTTATAGGACTACTAAGTCAATGACTTTTTCAAATATATTAACTTCTTAGAAAAAACTGTATAAAATTCAGAATAGTTCCATCTTTGTAAATTTATATAAAGTTTATCTTTTGTCAAAACTTTGTTTTTAAATTAGCAAACGATATAAAGATGACACAAATAGTCAGACTTAGTGATGATTTCTTCTTTTTTTTTTTTCTTTTTATCATGAAACAATATATTGTAAATAATCTTTAGAAATTATAAAGCAACATCTATGTGACACCAATTTAGATAGCATTTAGAACATTAAAGCGTATAAATTTACCAAAATATCATATGAATCAGGAGATGATAAAAGTCTTTATTGTGGACAAGACGGAGAACCTCAGGAAAAGGAGAAAACGAAATGAAAGCAAGTTTTTACGTAACATCCAAAGTAATGAACCATGTGAAGTTTTTACATAATATCCAAAGTAATGAACCACACATGGATGGTCTATTGGTAAGCAAATTCATGTGAGTTAATGATTTGGATTAGAAGTAATCCAACAACACTAAATATGTAATAAATATATTTGGATTAGAAGTAATCCAACAACACTAAATATGTAATAACAAGGTGATATGTTTTTCTATTTCTCATTGCGAACAACCAGATCTGTCTTCCACCAGTAGACAGAGTTTCAAGAAACGAATCGGTTGGGTGTCGATCCGTCAGATACGCCTAAATTATCCTAAAAAATATTCAATATAATGAATTTATAAGAGAAGAAACAATTTCAGAAATTCCTTAAATTTCTTAGCTAGTGCTTTGTATGTTAAGTCGACTAACCCATTAACAAAATAGTGTTTTTTTGTTAATTATGCGTCAAAACTTATACATTTTCATGTGAAAGATTCATTATTTTAAGAAATTGGTTAAAATATCCTTATAAATAAAATATTCAATCAAAAATATTGTAATATTTGGGTTTAGAATTTAATGATTAAATTTATGATTTACTGTTAATAGGGTGAAGTTGATTTGTAAACTTTCTAAATGATTTAGAGGAGTTAATTTAATCTTATTTCATCACAAACTTAAGATATTTATGAAAACAATTTGAAGACATTTTGAAAAATAGTATCAGATTTTTGGTAAAATTAGAATGTCCCCTAATATTTCCATGTTGAAATTAGAACAACCGTTAACAAATCGGTGCACTGTGAAATCTTGTAACTATATTTGGGAAATATAATCTGTAACTACGATTATTGTCTTCGGTATCTAACAACACAAAAATTATGGACCAAATTTTCTAGACGTTTTTAAGAGAACAATAGAAAAGGATTAACAATTTCAACTTTAAGGAGTTTTTTTTTGTCAACTTCACGTTTCATTAAAATTTCCAAGAGTCAAGTGATACAATTTTTGATAAACATCCTTATATATTAATAACGAAACATTTTAAAAATTATAACATGTAGTTTGTACTAATTAAAAAACGCTCTGCTGAGTTGTAACGTAATTGAACATCTAACTTTGCTTACGTGGCGGTTTGAAAATCAATTCAGAATTTTGCTAGTCCAAATTAAATTGTTAAGAATATACTGTCTCTTATGTACCATTCATTTATCAAATTAGAACTTATTATATATTATTTCCTTAAGTAAAACCTATGGAATGATCTAATGTGATTAAGATATATGATAATTAATGATTTATATAATAAAGATTTGCTAACAATTTGTATACTTTTTTAATCATTTTTGTTTGATTAATTATTATTAAAATAAATTACACAATTAAATTAATCCTATAACAAAACTTAATTTTTTTTTTGTATATGTTGTATTTTGAATTTTTCAAAATGAGTATAAATTACTAAAACTGTTAAAAATCTCACATAAACTTTTGTGATCAAGGTTTAAATCCTTTTCTATAATAAGATACAATGATTATAAAATCATCACTACAAGAAAACAAAGCATTTACTAGGAAATTTTACTAGGAAAATTCTTCCTCGTAAATTTACTAAGCCTTTACTAGGATCTTACGAGGAAAGCAAATTTCCTCGTAAGCTCCTCGAAAACTTACGAGGAAACAATTTCCTCGTAAGACCTTAGTAAATTTAGGAGGAGCTTACGAGGAAAAAGTACTTTTCCTC